ACTACAGAACTTAAGTGCACTCACTTTGGGAATTCAGTGTCTACGAGTAGCCTCCTCAGAGCCCTCGTCTGTACTTAATTCCCCTCTTCATACCCTCGTACTGACTTAACCGTCGGAGTCTCCGCCTTAGATTCTCACCCAAGGCCTCTGACATCCTATGCCTTGAAGCACCTCAGCTACCAAACCTCGGCTTCTATGAAACTTGGTACACGATCAGCCTCAGCCTGCAGTCTTCAGCCTCAACACCTCGTCTCCGAATCGTTGAAGCCTTCGCCCCACCTCCAGAGCCTAGGGGAGAAATTACTTTGTTGTCCTCATCCAATCCGAGCATCAACAATTGGCGCCGTCTATGGAAATGTTGCTAAGACATCCCCTAAAGAACTGTAACAAACTAAGAAGTCCCTAAGCTCCAATCACCATGGTGCGAATGTTAGATAGTGTATGCCCTTAGCTCCAATCAGAATGATGTACATTATGAAATTTAATGTAAATGAATAAAGTACATATTTGATTCATGTTATTATGGTGTGTTTCTGTGTAATACCCTTAAACTGGACACATATGATGCTCGTGTTAGTTTAGAATCTTCACGGCCGTTGGATAGATCTGGGGAGATTTATCCTACCAAGGCTGACACTGATGTGCCGCCAAGTTGGTTGGGGTGCCTTGTCTCAACTGCCAGGGTGACACCTAAGGTACATGTAGTGTGGGTTTTCTTGAAACCTTGAACCGGACCAGAATTCCAGTATTGCCCTGGACCTTGGAGATAGATGGGCAAAACTGGAATGTTACACCTGACCCCTAGACTCGATTATGATACTTCACTAGGTGTTGGATTGAGCTGTCTTTGATATGCCAATCAGTGAGATCCTTAGAGGGGGTCAAAACCTTTGTATGTTGGGATAGTTCGAGAATTCATCTGAGTGGGTGATCATAGTGACAAGATCAGCCCCTTTGTCGGATAAAGTGAATGATCGGGGATGCACTCTCTCTGATGAAAACCAAAACTGTCAACAGTCGATTTCAACTGTTGAATTTTGTTTTGAAAAATATATTTATATAGAGATATACACACACATATATATATATATATTATGGTTTCAAAATATTTGCAAAAGGTTTTAATTCCTAGGATCCATGTGAGTAGAGAGTGCAGCACTGTACCTTGCAGCCGAGGGAGAGGTCCTCTCTTGTTGGGCAGTGTTTGATCATTATGGGCTGAGAGGTTAGAGAGTGCAGCACTATACCTTGCAGCTGAGGGAGAGGTCATCTCTTGTTGGGCAGTGTTTGATCATTATAGGCTGAGAGGTTAAGTGTAAG